AATTTAAGATTGAATTTGAAACTTGACTCCTCTAACTCAAACATCACCAAGACAAAACTAATTAAAAAAAAAAAAATAAATCAGTAATAGATGGTCTTGGGCTAATAGATTTGTGGAGACAATTATATCCTACAGAAAAAAAATATACATATTTCTCAAATCCACACTCCTTTTTTTTTTCTAGAATTATTACTTTTTCATTTTTAGTAAAGACCTGCATAAAGTGTTGGACTGTAAAATAGGTAGAATTCCCCAGTCACACATGCAGAAAACAAATATATGCAAGAATGGTATAAGATTTGTTTCAGATTCTTGACCTGTTGTGTCTTTGTCCAACGGGAGTCAGAAAGTACATCTGGTGTAACAACAGGCTGTAACTACCCAGGCAAGTTTTACACCAAAGTTGCTGCTCCTGAAAGAAAGTGGGAAACTCAAATGTGTCTTTGTCACATAGATTTATCAAAGACAGTTTAATAATTTAAATAAAATACAAATGTTCTTTCTATAACTGTATTAAACAATTCTGTGGGTTTAACATAAAATACATCATTAACAACTTTGTCATCAAATATTTTTCAAAAACAACCACAAAAATACAAGTATGTAAATTATTAGAAGAGGAAGTTAATCCAGCTGCAGTTAAACAAATTATTATCTCAGTGATGTGAGAGCTCCTCCTGTGTTGGCCACAGTGAATAACAGTCTGATGTGTTTTTGTACAGCTCTACATATACTTTGTGTGACTGTGGTCTCTCTGGCACAGTAGTACACTGCAGTGTCTCCAGGCTGCATGTTCTGTCCATTCAGAGTCACTGTGTTACTGGAGGAATCTGCATTTATACTGAACTTGTTCTTCAGTGAATCTTTCATATACAGAGTGCATCCTGCACAGGTGATATCCAATCCACTCCAGTGGTTTCCCAGCAGGCTGTCTGATCCATGCTGTGTGGAAGCCAGTAGCTGCTCTAACAGAATATGAGGAGTACAGGAGATGGTGAGAGTGTGTCCTGGCTGCACAGTCACAGAGGCTGGCTGTGTCAGTGTCTCACACTTCACACCTGTGGAGGACAGAGCACAATATTGAGGATCAAACTGTGCTGTTTAGTTGTACCAGAGTTTACTGATGTGAACAGAGACTTACAGGATCCAGCTGCCAGCAGCAGCAGAAGAGCTACAGACAACATCATCAGTGTGGAGTGCACTGTCACACTCTCACATGGGCCTTATATAAACACACAGGAACACAGCAGTAGTTTGCATTCACACTAACAGGGAGGGGCATTTCTTAGAAAAAAAAATAGGAAATTGTGGAAATAGGCAGTGAGAATTTGTGTATGCAAGTGTTGCATGTTTTTGTCTAATTTGGGATGAGCTTGTTACTTAATGACTAAGTTCACTGTATTCTTGAGATCACATAACATTTTTTAATCATTCATCAAGAATATCTGAATAAAATGACAGTGAAAAGAGGAAGGTAAAAGCACAAGACCAACTCACTACACATGTGTAGAACAAACATTTCCCATCATCTACTGCCCCCTGGAGGTTGTGCTGGTTTTTGTACAGACTCATAATAAAGTCAAACCACAGTGTGTCGGGCACAGTAGTACACAGCAGAGTCCTCAGGCTGCAGGTTGGACAGTCTGAGAAACACCAAGCTTTAGACATTGTCTCTGCTGATTTCTATCCTCCCTTGAACACTGTCTGCGTAATACGTCTTACTTGCATCGTAATAAATGAGCCCCAGACATTCCAACCCTTTTCCTTCAGCTTGTCTAATCCAGTTCATCCCGTAGCCACCAAAGTTAAACCCAGATCCACTGCAGGAAAGACTGACAGACTCCTGAGGAGTTTTGAGCACTGGAGAAGAGGGAATGGACTGGAGGATCTGGCAACTCACACCTGACAAATAAAAACGAGTTAAACACATGCACGATCCAAACATACTGAACATGTTTGTGGAGAAGTGAACTCACAGGGCAGGGAGAGCGCCCCCATCAGGAGGACCAGTGTGTTCATCATGGTCAGACTGTGTTAGAAAGGATGTGTCTGTCACTTTATAACAGTAGACTCCAAGGATACAATATTTACATGAGGCTGTGGAGAGGAGGGGTTTGTGAGGAGATTTAAAGTTATGGAGCATGTTCCCTAAGCAGAGTCTATATGAGACTCACCCTGTCACTACTGGTCAACACAAGGTTAAATTTGAATCACAAAAAAAGTTTGGTATTCAGTGAAATATATTTCTCGTATTACGTACAATGGTAAAGGTTATATTTTTCATACAAAAATAAAGGTCTAGTAATTCACTGAACCAAGTTTTTTGTATGTGACTGCGCTGTGTCTTGAGAAATATAAACTTCATCACAAGTGTAATTTGTCCAAATGCCCCAAAGCAACAGTTCAGTGTTTCAAATGTGTGTTATTTTTTACTGTAGCCATTCTGTAAATGTGTAGTTATATAAAGTGACTGTATAAAAGCCTTTAACAGACATTTTGTGATACATATGCACATGACATAGTTTTGCATATTTTAAATAAAATAATATGTCAAAGCTATCTCAGAATAAAAATATAGTATTATACATGTCTTCAGTCAAAAAAAATTTATCTCAGTGGCATGAGATCTCCTCTTCTGGTGACTTACAGTGAATAACAGTCTGATGTGTTTTTGTACAGATCTACATATACTTTGTGTGACTGTGGTGCTCTGGCACAGTAGTACACTGCAGTGTCTCCAGGCTGCATGTTCTGTCCATTCAGAGTCACTGTGTTACTGGAGGAATCTGCATTTATACTGAACTTGTTCTTCAGTGAATCTTTCATATACAGAGTCTGTCCTGCACTGTGATATCCAATCCACTCCAGGCCTTTCCCAGCAGGCTGTCTGATCCATGCTGTCCAGTAGCTGCTAACAGAATATGATAGGACAGTACAGGAGATGGTGAGAGTGTGTCCTGGCTGCACAGTCACAGAGGCTGGCTGTGTCAGTGTCTCACACTTCACACCTGTGGAGGACAGAGCACAATATTGAGGATCAAACTGTGCTGTTTAGTTGTACCAGAGTTTACTGATGTGAACAGAGACTTACAGGATCCAGCTGCCAGCAGCAGCAGAAGAGCTACAGACAACATCATCAGTGTGGAGTGCACTGTCACACTCTCACATGGGCCTTATATAAACACACAGGAGCACAGCAGTAGTTTGCATTCACACTAACAGGGAGGGGCATCAGAGGGAGACTAATTATAAAATGTGTGCCTTAGATCATGATCTGCTGTTTCTACAGACAGCCTGTGTTCACTTGAAAACTTTTTTTTTATTTATTTACTGTACATGTTTTTCAGACATTCATCTCCTCTCACTTCCTCCTGTTTAGTGTAGTGTGTAACTGAAACCTCCTCCACAGCTATGGTCTTATGCAGGTACACTCTCCTAGGACTGAGACTAATATTTTTTTTAATATTTAAGGAGTTCAGTTTGAGGAAATGTTCATAAATAACATGTCAGGAGACTTATGGAAAACCATTTAGTCCAGTGTTTGATGTTTCAGTCCAGAGTACATGGAGTTCCAGTAGATCGAAAGGGTCAACATCACATTAAGTGTTTCAGGAAAGGCAAGACAAAAGTCCCAAAAACAGATCAATCTAAATGACATCTAGAAAGTTGTCTAAAATATTCTCTTAGAGCATCGCAGCCCCCTGACAGAGTAGGGATCAACCAAGCCGACCACGGGAGGAGCACCTACACACGGCTTGTTAGGAGAGGACGCCATGATGCAGAATACCAGAATCAGCAGAGCATGAGGCTCCGCCTGGGAGTAAGTAATTAGTATTTAGCAGTGGTGCTCTAATTAAAAGACTTGCGGCTCAAAGTTTCTGTTGGTTGGGGATGTGCTGGTTTTGTGTGTTGTGGTTAGCGTAGGAGAACGAGGTGGTGATGTTTCGGTGGAGGAGCTAACTGACCCGTGGAACCTCACCTGGGGACGGTCTCAGAGCAGCCGCAGTTGTGCCGTCCTGCTGTCAAAGTCCAGTCACCCGAGCACACAGGAGCATGAGGACACTGGGACATTTACCACTTTTAGTTGTTTTTATTGATTCACTTTGGCCCAGGATGTTTTAGCTTTTTAATGCACACTCATTTTAAACTTTATAATTTGTAGATAAGTTTTATATTGGTTATATTGTCGACACCTACTTTTTATTACTCCCACATTCAACATTTTTATTCAATATTATTTTAATCAGACACAGCAACAAGGGGTTATAATACTACTTTTAAATAACCTTCACCCTGTGACACAAATGTTCTTTGTAACATGTATGACTGTATTATACAATTCTGTGGATTTAACAATCTATTATTAAACGAGGAAGGTGATACCACAGGTCCAGCTGCAGTTAAACAAATCCCAAAGCATTATTATATTAGTGGTATGAGAGCTCCTCCTGTGTTGGCCACAGAGAATAACAGTCTGATGTGTTTTTGTACAGCTCTACATATACTTTGTGTGACTGTGGTCGCCTGGCACAGTAATACACTGCAGTGTCTCCAGGCTGCATGTTCTGTCCGCTCAAAGTAGATGTTTTTGTGGAAGTGTCTAAATTAATTGTGAATTTTTGCTTAAATGAATCTTTAGTTGCTCCTTCATCTCCAATCCACTCCAGGCCTTTCCCAGCAGGCTGTCTGATCCATGCAGTAGCGTAGGTGCTAACATCATAAGAGACAGTACAGGAGATGGTGAGAGTGTGTCCTGGCTGCACAGTCACAGAGGCTGGCTGTGTCAGTGTCTCACACTTCACACCTGTGGAGGACAGAGCACAATATTGAGGATCAAACTGTGCTGTTTAGTTGTACCAGAGTTTACTGATGTGAACAGAGACTTACAGGATCCAGCTGCCAGCAGCAGCAGAAGAGCTACAGACAACATCATCAGTGTGGAGTGCACTGTCACACTCTCACATGGGCCTTATATAAACACACAGGAGCACAGCAGTAGTTTGCATTCACACTAACAGGGAGGGGCATCAGAGGGAGACTAATTATAAAATAAATGTTTGGAGCATGTGTGTGAAAATATCAGTAATTATTAATGTTGGACATGTTTTGATTCACTTCAGAAACTTCAGCTCATCACCAGCTGTTTTCTTTATAATAAATATTAAAATAAATGCATCCAGGAGGTTTATTGTATTATGATTAAACACTCACTTTCATTATTCAAGTTTGTCATAACCATTGTGAGACATAGTTAAGGTCTGCACTGCCCAAATTTGAGTCCTTTGAGCTTTAAAACATAATGTTGTTACCTCCTCAAACTCAGACCTGAAGTTGTGTTTTGTTTCATTCACACATGTTTGAGTAACCCTTTATTATTAGTCTATCTACATGTCCAAAGATCAGTGATCTGTTCCACCCTGTGATGTCATCAAGCTGTAAATTTCAAGTTAACTTTTTCCTTTAGTTTAGTAGAGATTATACATTTCAGCACTGAAATCATCCAAATATTTTATTGTGAAGGTGTATGGAGTTTAAAAACACAGTGGAGCACTTCCTGAATTTTTTAAATGCAGCCTAAATATGCAGGGTTTGTGTGAATGAAATAAAAACAACTCTGGGTATAATTTTGATGAGAAAACAACATTAGAACAAATCAGGAAATGGCGTAACATGAGCCAAAAACAAACCAAAATGACCTTTTCATACTAACACAAGACATTTCAGGTTCTCATCAAAGTCACATTTACAAGTGATCTGTGACTGGGAGAAGAGCAGGGGGGAAAGAACACAGCCCTGGGGAATGTTGATGGTCCCACTGTTTAAGACACTCTTCCCCGAATGATATAAGATTTGTTTCAGATTCTTGACCTGTTGTGTCTTTGTCCAACGGGAGTCAGCAAGTGCATCTGGTGTAACAACAGGCTGTAACTACCCAGGCAAGTTTTACACCAAAGTTGCTGCTCCTGAAAGAAAGTGGGAAACTCAAATGTGTCTTTGTCACACAGATTTATCAAAGGCAGTTTAGTAGTTAAAGAAAAATGTATATGTTCTATGTAACACATATGAATGTATTAAACAATTCTGTGGATTTATCACAAAATAAACCACTAAGAACTTCCTCATTCAATATATGCAAATACAACCACAATATTTACAAATACAAAGTTTTATTGAAAGAGGAAGTTGTTACCACAAGTCCAGCTGCAATTAAACAAATCTTAACACTTGATTTTAGTGGTGTGAGAGCTCCTCCTGTGTTGGCCACAGTGAATAACAGTCTGATGTGTTTTTGTACAGCTCTACATATACTTCGTGTGACTGTGGTCGTCTGGCACAGTAGTACACTGCAGTGTCTCCAGGCTGCATGTTTCTGTCCATTTAGAGTCACTGTGTTACTGGAGGAATCTGCATTTATACTGAATTTGGTCTTCAGTGAATCTTTGTAAAAGAGTTCTCTACTACATCCAGGACAGTGTTCTCCAATCCACTCCAGTGGTTTCCCAGCAGGATGTCTGATCCATGATGTGTAGTAGCTGCTAACAGAATATGAGACAGTACAGGAGATGGTGAGAGTGTGTCCTGGCTGCACAGTCACAGAGGCTGGCTGTGTCAGTGTCTCACACTTCACACCTGTGGAGGACAGAGCACAATATTGAGGATCAAACTGTGCTGTTTAGTTGTACCAGAGTTTACTGATGTGAACAGAGACTTACAGGATCCAGCTGCCAGCAGCAGCAGAAGAGCTACAGACAACATCATCAGTGTGGAGTGCACTGTCACACTCTCACATGGGCCTTATATAAACACACAGGACTAGTTTCCATAGTTTCCATTCAAAATAAAGGGGAGGGGCATCTGTGAGAAATAAAAAAATGGTTTTCTATTCATTCATTCACAACTTAACACAAATGAACACTTCCTCTAGTGGTGAGACAGTAGACTACATGCTCTATTAACATTACTTTAACATATTGTGTTGTTTTTAAAGTACTGTTACCGTGGTTTTACACTCATTCACTTGAGGTAGTAGTTTGCCCAATTTAGTTGTGTGTCCAGATGACCAGTAGGTCTGGGTGTGTAAAGCTCTGTTCACTCCACCTTGTGTTTGAGAGTCTCTGTTCTCTGTTTAAATAGGATGGATATAGAAATCATTGTATTTATGGACAGAATTTCTAGGTGCAGTCAGGGGCCGGAGGGGGTCCGGTTTGGCGACCACAGGATCTCATCTCTGTTGTTCGCAGATGATGTTGTCTTGTTTGCTCCAACGAACCAGGACCTGCAACGTGAACTGGGGCGGTTTGCAGCCGAGTGTGAAGCTGCTGGGATGAGAATCAACTCTTCCAAGTCCGAAGCCATGGTTCTCGACCGGAAAAAGGTGGCTTGCCCTCTCCAGGTGGGTGGGGAGTCCCTGCCTCAAGTGGAGGAGTTCAAGTATCTCGGGGTCTTGTTCACGAGTGAGGGAAGGACGGAATGTGAGATTGACAGGTGGATCGGTGCAGCGTCTGCAGTGATGCGGTCGCTGTATCGGACCGTTGTGGTGAAGCAGGAGCTGAGTCGAAAGGCGAAGCTCTCAATTTACCGGTCAGTCTTCATTCCTACTCTCACCTATGGTCATGAGCTCTGGGTAGTGACCGAAAGGACGAGATCGCGGATACAAGCGCTCGAAATGAGTTTCCTCCGCAGGGTGGCTGGGCACTCCCTTAGAGATAGGGTGAGGAGCTCAGTCACACGGGAGGAGCTTGGAGTAGAGCCGCTGCTCCTCCACGTCAAGAGGAGCCAGTTGAGGTGGCTCGGGCATCTGTTCCGGATGCCTCCTGGACGCCTCCCTCGGGAGGTGTTCCGGGCATGTCCCACTGGGAGGAGGCCGCGGGGAAGACCCAGGACACGCTGGAGGGACTATGTCTCTTGGCTGGCCTGGGGACGCCTCGGGGTTCCCCCGGAGGAGCTGGAGGATGTGTCTGGGGTGAAGGAAATCTGGGACTCGCTGCTTAGACTGCTGCCCCCGCAACCTGGCCCCAGATAAGCGGGAGAAAATGGATGGATGGATGGATATAGAAACACATGGTGAAAATATCAGTGTTCATAATGCAGTGGTGGCACACAGACGCTCCTTCTGTGTTCAGCTGGATTACCATGGACATTTTTGTACTGTTCAGTGCAGGAAAAGAGTGTAGGATGTGACCTGTGTGTAAATGTACCTTTTTTGACAAAAAAAAAAAAAAAAAGACTAAATTGGAAGTATGTTTTTCATTATGTGTGTGTTTATTGAACTGAAAAACTAAGAAGTACATGCATCCTTACAGTGATCAACTTTGCATCTCCACAACATGGACTCTTGTTTGGTCTGGAAGAGGGCATTTTCCTGCTTCTCCTGCTTATTTCCGTGGAAATGGTTTTCCTTTGTCTATAATATTCCACAGTATGGCCTAAAATGTGTGTTCTGTAGTAAGGGTTTAATTTTCTATTTCCATGGAATCATGTATTTGTCTTTTCACCTCCAAAAAGTGACATACGTTAGGATCACAATGCACCCAAGAGGTGTATTGTATTAATGCTGAATACTCACTCTGATTCTCAACTTTGCTATAAGCATCACTGACACATGTTAAGTATCACCAAACAGACTCCCTCCTTTTCATACTAACACAAGACATTTCAGGTTTTCATCAAAGTCACATTCACAAGTGATCTGTGACTCTGGGAGAAGAGTAGGGGGAAAGAACACAGCCCTGGGGAATTCCAGTGTTGATGGCCCCACTGCTTAAGACACTCTTCCCCAGTCGCACATGCAGAAAACAAATGCATGCAAGAATGGTATAAGATTTGTTTCAGATTGCTTTACCTTTTGTGTCTTTGTCCAATGGGAGTCAGCAAGTGCATCTGGTGTAACAACAGGCTGTAACTACCCAGGCAAGTTTTCCACCAAAGTTCCATCTCCTGAAAGAAAGTGGAAAACTCAAATGTGTCTTTGTCACATAGATTTATCAAAGGCAGTTTAGTAGTTTAAATAAAATACATACGTTCCTTGTAACACGTATGATTGAATTATACAATTCTGTGGATTTAACACAAAATAAACCACAAAGAAATTTATCATAAAATATATGCAAATACAACCATAATATTTACAAATACAATGTATTATTGAAAGAGGAAGTTACTACCACAGGTCCAGCTGCAGTTAAACAAATCTTAACACTTGTGAAGCTCCTCCTGTGAACAGTCTGATGTGTTTTTGTACAGCTCTACATATACTTTGTGTGACTGTGGTGGTCTGGCACAGTAGTACACTGCAGTGTCTCCAGGCTGCATGTTCTGTCCACTCAGTGTCACTGTTTGACTGGAAGAAACAGCATTTATACTGAACTTGTTCTTTAATGAAACTTTAATTTCCATATTGCATCCATCACAGTGACGTCCAATCCACTCCAGGCCTTTCCCAGCAGGTTGTCTGATCCAGTGTGTCCAGTAGCCGGGTCCTGCTCTAACAGAATATGAGACAGTACAGGAGATGGTGAGAGTGTGTCCTGGCTGCACAGTCACAGAGGCTGGCTGTGTCAGTGTCTCACACTTCACACCTGTGGAGGACAGAGCACAATATTGAGGATCAAACTGTGCTGTTTAGTTGTACCAGAGTTTACTGATGTGAACAGAGACTTACAGGATCCAGCTGCCAGCAGCAGCAGAAGAGCTACAGACAACATCATCAGTGTGGAGTGCACTGTCACACTCTCACATGGGCCTTATATAAACACACAGGAGCACAGCAGTAGTTTGTATTCAAACTAAAGGGGAGGGGCATCAGAGGCCGACTGATCATAAAATAAATGTTTGAGCATGTGTGTGAAAATATCAGTAGTTATTGATGATGGACATGTTTTGATTCACTTCAGAAACTTCAGATCATCACCTGCTGTTTTCTTTATAAAATTAATATTAAAGTACAATGCATCCAGGAGGTTTATTGTATTATGATTATGCAGTATTTTTATCAATGAGTTCTCTGAGTTTTTATCTATTTTACACAATTCTTTTAATATGATTATTATAACTGGTGATTTTAACTTGCACATAGATAATCTTTTAGATCCTGTTGCAAATGAATTTTTAAATGTTCTTAATTATATGGATTTTACTCAACACGTCACACAGCCAACTCACAACGGAAGGGGGTGTTTGGGTGTTTGGGTGTCTGTGTTGTTTGGTTGTGTCGAGTCGGGCAGCTGTGGGGGGTTGGGTGGGTGGAAATGTGGGATTGTTTTTAATCTGTGTAAAGCACTTTGTGTTACATTTTTGTATGAAAAGTGTTTTATAAATAAAGTTTGATTGATGATTAAACACTCACTTCCATTATTCAAGTTTGTCATAACCATCACTGAGACACAGTTAAGGTCAGCACTGCCCAAAATTGACTCCTGTGTCTCAGGATGTTGTTACCTCTTCAAAATCAGAACTGAAGTTGTGTTTTATTTTATTTATTTAATTTCATTTTATTTTATCAACATCTCCAAAGCTCAATTTTCTGTTCCACCTTGTGAAGCTGTAGTTTTCAAAGTTAACAGCTATATTTTACTTTTAGTTTAGAAGAGATTAGAAATGTCAGCACTGAAATCATCCAAATATTCTATTGTGAAGGTGTATGGAGTTTAAAAACACAGTGGAGCACTTCCTGAATTACTACATGACATCACAAAGTGGAATAGACTGTTTTCTAAACGCAGCCTAAATATGCAGGGTTTGTGTGAATGAAATAAAAACAACTCTGGGTATAATTTTGATGAGAAAACAACATTAGAACAGATGAGAAAACAGGGTAACATGGGCCCAAAACAGACCAAACTGACCTGCAGTAGTTTGTATTCACACTAACAGGGAGGGGCATCTGTGTGAAAATATCTGTGGTTACTTTTTATACTACGTTACATCAGATTGTGTTTTTGGTGTTGAACTTGTGTTGTTTAACTTCAGAACTTCTGATCAGCACCAGCTCTTTTCATTGAAGGCCTGTGGTCACATGAAATCTTTCTTATTGACTGCATCAAGATGTTTTTATACATTCATCTCCTCTCTCTTTGTCCTGTTTGGGGTTGTGTGTGACTGCACATCTATGGCCTTTAGGCAGTACACTGAATAAACACAAATTTTCTATTCATTTTCAAATTTCCTGGACACAAATGAACAATAAGAAGAAAACCTGTATGAAGTGATCACCTCCTCTAGTGGTGAGACTGTAGACTACATGCTTTTACATTCATTCACTTGAGGTAGTAGTTTGCCTGATGTAGTTGTGTGTCCAGACGAGGAGTGGGTCTGGGTGTGTAAAGCTCTGTTCACTCCACCTTGTGTTTGAGAGTCTCTGTTCTCTGTTTAAATAGGATGGACATAGAGACACATGGTGAAAATATCAGTGTTCATAATGCAGTGTTCTCTTAAGAGGAAGGATAAGGGGGTTCACTAGTGACCCTGTTGTGTTTGTGAATGTTTATGCACCTCCAAATTCCAATTGGGCTTTTTATTTCAGAAACACAAGGCATTTTGATTTGTGGGAGAAATTTTAATTTAAGATTGAATTTGAAACTTGACTCCTCTAACTCAAACATCACCAAGACAAAACTAATTAAAAAAAAAATAAAAAATCAGTAATAGATGGTCTTGGGCTAATAGATTTGTGGAGACAATTATATCCTACAGAAAAAAAATATACATATTTCTCAAATCCAGACTTCTTTTTTTTTTCTAGAATTATTACTTTTTCATTTTTAGTAAAGACCTGCATAAAGTGTTGGACTGTAAAATAGGTAGAATTCTCCAGTCACACATGCAGAAAACAAATATATGCAAGAATGGTATAAGATTTGTTTCAGATTCTTGACCTGTTGTGTCTTTGTCCAACGGGAGTCAGAAAGTACATCTGGTGTAACAACAGGCTGTAACTACCCAGGCAAGTTTTACACCAAAGTTGCTGCTCCTGAAAGAAAGTGGGAAACTCAAATGTGTCTTTGTCACATAGATTTATCAGAGGCAGTTTAATAGTTTCAATAAAATACAAATGTTCTTTCTATAACTGTATTAAACAATTCTGTGGGTTTAACATAAAATACATCATTAACAACTTTGTCATCAAATATTTTCAAAAACAACCACAAAATGTACAAGTATGTAAATTATTAGAAGAGGAAGTTAGTCCAGCTGCAGTTAAACAAATTATTATCTCAGTGATGTGAGAGCTCCTCCTGTGTTGGCCACAGTGAATAACAGTCTGATGTGTTTTTGTACAGCTCCACATATACTTTGTGTGACTGTGTGATACCGAGCACAGTAGTACACTGCAGTGTCTCCAGGCTGCATGTTCTGTCCATTCAGAGTCACTGTGTTACTGGAGGAATCTGCATTTATACTGAACTTGTTCTTCAGTGAATCTTTCATATACAGAGTGCTTCCTGCACTGTGATGTCCAATCCACTCCAGTGCCTTTCCCAGCAGGCTGTCTGATCCATGCTGTCCAGTAGCTGCTAACAGAATATGAGGGAGTACAGGAGATGGTGAGAGTGTGTCCTGGCTGCACAGTCACAGAGGCTGGCTGTGTCAGTGTCTCACACTTCACACCTGTGGAGGACAGAGCACAATATTGAGGATCAAACTGTGCTGTTTAGTTGTACCAGAGTTTACTGATGTGAACAGAGACTTACAGGATCCAGCTGCCAGCAGCAGCAGAAGAGCTACAGACAACATCATCAGTGTGGAGTGCACTGTCACACTCTCACATGGGCCTTATATAAACACACAGGAACACAGCAGTAGTTTGCATTCACACTAACAGGGAGGGGCATCAGAGGGAGACTAATTATAAAATGTGTTTGAGCATCTGTGTGAAAATATGAGTAATTATAGATGTTGGACATGTTCAGAAGAACTTCAGAGGCTCAGATCATGATCTGCTGTTTTTACAGACAGCCTGTGTTCACTTGAAGACTTTTTTTAATTTAAATTATTATTTATTCACTGTATTTACATGTTTTTCAGACATTCATCTCCTCTCTCTTCTTCCTGTTTGGTGTAGTGTGTGACTGAAACCTCCTCCACAGCTATGGTCTTATGCAGGTACACTCTCCTAGGACTGAGACTAATATTTTTTTCACAATTGTGGCAGTGGGTGGAAACGTAGTACAATAATGATAATTAATCATGAGACACAAAAACACCATCCCATTAGAGAACTAAGCAGATATTTAAGGAGTTCAGTTTGAGGAAATGTTCATAAATAACATGTCAGGAGACTTATGGAAAACCACTTACTCCAGTGTTTTGATGTTTCTACAGTCCAGAGTACATGAGTTCCAGTAGATCGAAAGGTCAACATCACATTAAGTGTTTCATGGAAAGGCAAGACAAAAGTCCCAAAAACAGATTAATCTAAATGACATCTAGAAAGTTTCTAAAATTTCTCTTAGAGCATCGCAGCCCCTGACAGAGTTAGGGATCAACCAATGCCGATTCCACAGGAGGTGCACCTACACACGGCTTGTTTAGGAGAGGACGCCATGATGCAAATACCAGAATCAGCAGAGCATGAGGCTCCGCCTGGGAGTAAGTAATTAGTATTTAGCAGTGGTGCTCTAATTAAAAGACTTGCGGCTCAAAGTTTCTGTTGTTGGGGATGTGCTGGTTTTGTGTGTTGTGGTTAGCGTAGCGAGAACGAGGTGGTGATGTTTCGGTGGAGGAGCTAACTGACCCGTGGAACCTCACCTGGGGACCGTCTCAGAGCAGCCGCAGTTTGTGCCGTCACTGCTGTCAAAGCCAGTCACCCCGAGCACACAGGAGCATGAGGACACTGGGACATTTACCCACTTTTAGTTGTTTTTTATTGATTCACTTTGGCCCAGGATGTTTAGCTTTTAATGTACACTCATTTTAAACTTTATAATTTGTAGATAAGTTTATATGGTTATAATTGTTGACACCTACTTTTTATTACTCCCACATTCAACATTTTTATTCAATATTATTTTAATCAGACACAGCAACAAGGGGTAATAATACTACTTTTAAATAACCTTCACCCTGTGACACAAATGTTCTTTGTAACATGTATGACTGTATTATACAATTCTGTGGATTTAACAATCTATTATTAAACGAGGAAGGTGATACCACAAGTCCAGCTGCAGTTAAACAAATCCCAAAACATTATTATATTAGTGGTATGAGAGCTCCTCCTGTGTTGGCCACAGAGAATAACAGTCTGATGTGTTTTTGTACAGCTCTACATATACTTTGTGTGACTGTGTCTCTTCTGGCACAGT